AGAGAAGGAGAGCGCGAGTAGTGTCAAGAATATGCCTATGTTTTCGTTCAGCTCGGCCATTTTGCTGGGACGTGCCAGCACAAGATCGATGAGGCAGTGTACCATGATGCTGAAGAAAGGAAAGGAAATCTGAATCCCGATATTCCATAGCATTGTCAGAGCGAAAATTTTTGATGGTTTTGGAGAATTGGGTGTGAACCATTTTTGCAAATCGATAATAAATGTGTTTAAGTTCAGACCTATTTTTCATGAGAAAAAGCCAAGTAAATCGGGAAAAATCATCAATAAAAATAACAAAATAGCGGGATCCCCCCATAGTAGTAGTAGGGGAGGGCCCCCAAATATCCGAATGTATAAGATCAAAAGGTGCAAGGGAAACAGAGGTACTTTTATTGAATGATAAAGCAGGTTGTTTGGCAAGTTGACAGGGTATACAATCGAAATTATCGGGAATTACATGACCCAACTGTCCACTAGAAACCAAAGACCTTAAGCGATTAACAGAAATATGCCCTAAGCGACAATGCCAAAGATGAAAGGGAGATAATAAGGAAGTAGATGTAGGAGCAGCAATCTGAGGAGAGGCAGGAACATGAAGGTGAATGAGTTCATAGCGACGTCCACGCTTACGGCCGATCCCAATAGTCTGCCCCGTCTGAGGGTCCTGTACCAAACAATCAGTAGCAGAAAATGTGACAGTTAGACCAAGTTCACATAATTGACCAATGGAAATAAGGTTTAAGGTAAGAGCAGGGATATGATAAACGTGAGGTATAGATAAAGAAGGGGTGGAAACAGTACCAACATGACGGACAGACATGAGGGAACCATCAGCAGTATGAATGGAGGGAAAAGGAGGAGATGAGGAGGAGGAAGAAAAGATAGTAGAACTGGAGGTCATATGATTATAACAGGCAGAGTCAAAATACCAAGAGGAGTTACCTGGGATTACAGACAAAGCAGTAGGAGGAGGTGTACCAGATGGGGAGAGAAGTTGTTTGAGCATGGCCTCTACATCCGTTGGAGAAAAGCGAGGGGTAGATGGAGCAGGTGACTCAGAGAACCCCGCAGAGGTGACAGCATCAGTGTGATGAGACTGATTCCCGGAAGCAGCAGCAGCAGTGTGATAAGACTGATTCCCGGAAGCAGAAGTAGCAGTGTGATGAGACTGGTTGCTGGAACGATGAAAACTTCCCCGGGAAGAGCCACCGCGAGAGGAGTGGCTATTGGAGGATGATCGGGATGGATTGCGAAAACAATCCTGTTGCAGATGACCAGGACCAAGTTTGTTGCAGTAGCGGCAGGATCTGACGGGGCAATTGACCAGGAGATGGGTTGAAGGAAGACCCCGATTCTGACAATAGAGGCAAGCAGTGGTCCGTTGGGTAAATGATGGCCGGTACGGAGGAGTGGCCAGAACAGAGTCCACATGATGAGTTTGAAGAGTACCGAGACGCGTCTCCTCTGATAGCAACTCAGAAATTGCTTGTTCAAGAGTGGGCAATGGATGGCGATGAAGCAGAGAGGCACGTACGGGCTCAAAGGAGGAAGTAAGAGCCATAAGAAAATGCACCAACCTTTGCTGGTTGCGATAGATAGTAAATAAAACAGCATCTTCGGGGGTATGCCAAGTTGGTTCTGAAAGAGCAAGCTGATCCCAAACAGAGTACATTTGAGAAAGGAAGTCATTAATGGACTGAGTGGATTCTTGGCGCATGCGGTGAAGTTGGTTCTGAAGTTGATATTGGTGGGCAAGACCAGTAGTCTGGTATCGTTCTTTCAAAAAATCCCAGATGTCTTTTGCAGGAGTAGTTACAAAGTCAAGCTGAAAGCGACCAAACTGAAGACTGATAGAGGTAACAGAGGTATTACAAAACCAGGTAATGATTTGGTAATTCTTACTGTCCCATTCCTCAAGTCGGTCTTCATATGTAGTAGTAGCAATGGAAACAGTAGTTTCAGTAGTGTCTTTCACTGGTTGGGTCACATCTCCAGTGATAATTCGCTAGAGCTTCTTTCCTTTGAGGAAGGAAGACATGGCTTGGGCCCACAGAACATAGTTGGAACCATTCAAAATAACGGAAATGGGATGGGAGGCATCATGACGATCCATAATACAAGTTGAATAGGGTTAAAGCAATATGAATAGACCTGTAGGAGCAAAATTAGGTAAACCAGAGTGTACTAGTGAGTCCGGAAGGTTGAAAATAGCAAGGGAAGGTATGCTGGACAGAGATGATGTCAGCAATGATGTTAGCGGCGCACGTTAGCAGAGTGTAGGGAGGAGCACGTTAGCAGGAAGGCGGTGGCGCACGGTAGCGGACAGGCGCAGGCGCGGCGCACGGTAGCTGTTTTGGCGCACGCGGGTGCACATTAGTGAAGCGACGCACGAGAGGCGTACAGTAGCAGGGGCGGCGTATGGGAGCAGCAGGGCGGACGTCAACTGCCGACGTGTGGGCGCGTGTGGGCGCGTGGCGGAAGTGAGCAACAACAGATGGCACGTGCAGGCGCGTGTGAGAGTGCTGGCGGAAATGGTGACGCACAGAGGACAAAGGCGGTGCGTGTGGGCGCGTGGAAGGTTTTTTGAGGACGAGCTTGGTGCCGTTGGAATTGTGAGGAAATTCCGAGCAGTTTGATGTAGTGCCACTATGTACGGGACTAAACACCAAAATCGAAAATTGCCAGAAATGTGACACTGGGCTCTGATACCATGAAACAATAGTTTGAGAGAGTGAGAGAGGATAGAGAGAGAGAGAGAGACACTGAATTGTTTGTCTGTAATTGTGTGTATATTTTACAAAGAGAATGCACTCTCTTTATAGAGAGAATATGATGCATTGGATGCCCACCGAAAGCATAAAGAATTTACAACATAAAAGATAAAGTGCTAAAGCTATAATGATGTGCTATAATGCTAAGCTATGATGCTATAACAGCTATTAACAATTATACACTAGCACGCACAAACCCAAAACACAAATGAGTTGTTTTTATATTATAGTTGAAATTTTAATGCATTTGTAACTTCATTGCTTACTATTTAATGAAACTTATAGCAACTGATAGTTTATTAATGCAAGAAAATATGGGTAATTAGTGTACAGAATATCATACTTGCTCAAGAAATTCCTCAGTTTCTATAATGTTTATCTAATTACAGATTGACAAAAAGAGAGTTCAAGGGTTTTTGGAGTCTAATAGTCTATAGTAGTACTTGAGGCATAAGCAATTAATCTTTCAAATTTGTGCTTTCATGGTTGTAGACTGGATAGTCCAACAAGCTGGCTTCAATGGAAAGAAAAGAGAGATAGTCATAGTGACCTTGACATTATTCACTGGAATGCTTCTGTTGGGTCTGAGCATAATGTTGTATATCCGGAAGAATAAGAAGAAGAAGAAGGATTCACAGTTGAAGATAGAAGGTAATCCAAATGAGTGTCAATTTGCTCTTTCATCTTTGTTCTGTGAACCATTTTCTGAATGGATTCTATGTCTTTTTGTTAACTTGAATCACAAAAACGACAAAAAAAAAAAAACTCATAAAATATATAGCTTTGTTTGTTGTCTCATTTAAACTAAAATCACCTACTTTGCAGGAAGGCCGGTACACAACTCCCAACAAGGTTCCACTGAAAAAAACCAGAAGGAAGATATGGAGTTACTGATGTGTGACTTTGCTACGATAGGTAGTTCTACAAATAACTTCTCAATTGACAATAAGCTTGGAGAGGGTGGATACGGACCTGTTTACAAGGTTGCAATTTAAATACCCTCATTTAGTTAGAATGTAGGTGTCGTCCAATCCATGAGTTTCAAGAATATTTTTTAATTATCAAATTGGTAATTTTCAAGGTAGGTTGGAAGAAGGACAAAAAATAGCAGTTAAGTGGCTCTCAAAATATTCCAATCAAGGACTTGATGAGTTCAATAACAAAATCATCTGCATTGCCAAATTTCTACACCAAAATCAAGTGAAGCTTCTAGGTTGTTGCACACAAAGAGAAGAAAAGATGTTAATCTATGAATTCATGCCTAACAAAAGCCTAGACTTGCTTATTTTTGGTTTGGCTCTCAAATTTTTTTTGAATTTTGTTATGGAACCTTTTCTTGTTAAATTCGTTTCGCCCAAGCATGGATTAACTCATATGAAACTTTGCATAGATGAAGGCGGAAGAACATTAATGGGCTGGCCTAAGCGTTTCAACATTATTAATGGAATTGCGCGTGGACTTCTATATCTTCATCAAGATTCTAGATTGAGAATCATTCATAGAGATCTTAAAGCTAGTAATATTTTGCTAGATATCGACATGAACCCAAAAATATCAGATTTCGGCATGGCTAGAATTTTTGGAGGAAATGAGACAGAAGGAAATACGAATAGTGGTTGGCACATAGTAAGAATATCTCTTAACATGTCCTAAATAATAATTCATTAATTGTCCTAAAATATGTTTCATAACTCAATGCTTTGTTGTAGTGTCTATATGTCTCCAGAATATGCGGCGGATGGGCTTTTTCAATAAAATCAGGTGTTTTTAGTTTTGGTGTTATGGTGTTGGAGATTGTGAACAGGACGTGAAACAAAGGTATCATTCATCCAGATCACCATTTCAACCTCCTCGGGCATGTGAGTATCAAGTATGGAAATATTTGCTCATGTGTTAAAAACACAAGGTGCTAATACCAATTGTTGTGAATTGTTCAGGCATGGAGATTGTATAAAGAAGGCAAGTCAATAGAACTGGTTGATGGGTTTGTAAGGGACTCATGTTGCCTATCTAAAGTGTTGCGATCAATCCACGTAGGTCTATTGTGTGTGCAATAACATCTAGAAGATAGGCCAACCATGTCGTCTATGGTTATGATGTTGGGAAGTGAAGGTGAATTGCCATGGCCGAAACAACCTGGATTTTTTACTGAATCTGCTAGTTCATCCAGAAAGTATGCACCATGTTCAGCAAATGAACTTACCATTACACCAATGCAACCTTGATAGTCACATTCTGTAGGAATTGATTGTAATATAATCGTGTGGTAGAGAGAGAATTTGATACAGGAGAGAAGGGAGAGGGCCAAGAACCCTTGTATTACATAATATAGTTGGATTTCTCTGAAAGCCAAAGGAAAGTGGACTATTCTATTACCTTGGGCTAACTGTGTATGGATTATCTTTCATGATCCATGTTCTCTGTAAACATTCTATAGCGATTCCGGTTTTGACCTGACCCATCTTGTATTTTGGACTCGGGTTTTATGATTTCTGAATGTTGTTCATGTCTTTTCCCCCTTATTCTTGCTTGAGTTTGGCTATTGGGTTATTGTCGTTGTGTTTGGAAAAGGTTGGTTGCTTGGTTTTCAAACTTTATGTTGCCTAGATTTTTGCTCTTCTGCTCGAGCGGCACTTCTTGCACTCAAGTGGGCTTTGCAAACTCTCAGTACTTTTGCAGGTCTACAAAACTACTGGAAG